CGACCGGTCCTGTTGGTCCGGACTGCCGCTTTAGGCAGAGGTTACTAGCTCGGAAGACAAATAGGTAATGTAGAAGTAGCAGATGGACACTGCTCGAGGTACCTGTAGGTTAGTATTAGGATAGCCTAAGGTGGTTAGTTTAGAATGGTGTCTGGCTTTTTGAAGAATTGTGAGGTTTTCAAGTTTGCAGGCTTGAAGCACTGTTTTTTTTTTTTTTTTTGGTTTGTGAGGCTTTGTTGGCTTGTAGCACATCTTTATTTTTTCAGGGTCTGAATTTTCAGGACAGCTGCCTAAGAACTGGCCTTCTCTGTGCCCGGATATTATTCAGCCCTGCTTGGTACCAATAGTTCTCTCTGTGTTGACTGAGTACTATGCCAAGTGCATAACTCGCAGGCTTCTGCCTGTAAGCTAAGCTGGCTGATGCTGTCAGATACTCCGGGTTGAATTGTGAGGACCCCGGCCTCTTGTTACTTTATAATGCAATTGAGTTTTTGTGAAAAAAAAAAAAAAAACCCTCCATAAAGAAACAAAAACTTCCATTATTGATATACCTCGGGTCAAACGACAGGTGGGATCCAAAAAGCTGCGCCTGTTGGCGTAAGACTGTCCCTGAGCCCAACCACGCCACTCTGCCGAACCGAATCCACAAATGCAAGGTCAGCAATGAATGCAGCTTTGTGTGTTGCAAACTGCGATAGCATCAGGTCACTGTGCCTCCCCTCTGGTCCCCTCCCCCTATGAACATCAGCAGTCTCTGCTGAATGCCACTCGGGGCGACCAACGACATATCTCTAGGTGGCGGGCGCCAAGCTTGCCCAGGAAGTGGCACACTTTTAGTTTTGGTTCACAATCTTTCCTTTTCCCTTTTGCCATTGGGCCTTTTTGTTACTTGGGGTTTGTGTGGCTTTATAGGCCGTGAGGGCTCCTTTTTTTCGTGCTCAGAGTGGGTATATCAGGACAGAGGTCTCAGGGACCGGAGCTGTGCCTAGTTTTAAATACCCCTCTGAAGCTTAAGCTAAGCTGGCTGATGCTGTCAGTAATTTCATCCGGGTGGAATTGTGAGGTCCCCGGCCTCGTTGAAACAATTTTTCAATAATAAGTGCTTAAAGTGGCGCCGATGTCTTTTTTTTTTTTTCTTTTTTTTCTTTTTTTTTTGTGAGTTTCGAAATGTGCAGGTTCGAGACCGTCTCCATAACCTCTACACTCTAGGGTACGGGCAGGGCCACTCTCAGGACAGATACTACCCTTGATCTTAGCCAATGGAAAGTCTCATGGATCACGAATGGAACTGCCAACGTCAAATTTGTGACCGATGGATCACGAATGGAACTGGCAATGTTAAATCTGTGGCCCGATGGATCACGAATGGAACTGGCAATGTTAAATTTGTGGCCCAATGGATCACGAATGGAACTCTCAGGACATAAGGGCTCGGCCCACCAGGGCCACCACTCTCTGACGGCCAACGGGACCAGTGACGGTGCTGTGGGCGTTCGGCCTGAATCGGCCACGGCGACCTCCGTACCCCCACTAAACTTTAATGGGGGGAGCCGCTCACTCGGCCGCTCACTCGCACTAGACCATTAGTGGGGGCTTTTTTTTTTTTTTTTTTTTTTTTTTTTTTTTTTTTTTTGTCTCTCTCTCTCTCTCTTGCTGGTGGGTGCAGCTCCCACATGTTCCCTCCCTCGTTGGAGGCTTGAGCACGGATGTGTCTGCTACGGGGTTACCCGTAATATTATAATGACAATAAAAAAGGCCTGAAAGGCCGTACTGTCCAGATTTGACAGGTATTGCTATTTTTTTTCTCGTCCTTCGGGTATTAGGGCAGGTTCGGAGTGGAAGCCGTGGGGAGTTCCAACGGGCCCAAATACAGAGCGCCGCCAGTACTTTGTGGAAAAAAAAAACTTCATGAGTTCGAACCTGGTGGAGACGGCAATCAGAGCATGACTTCGAATCGTGGTGAAACAGAGAATCGTGGTTAAATCAGACGACGCATGTAGCTCTTGATAACCAGAGGAAGGGTTCGAATCGCAGCGAAATCAGAGACTACGATCACATTTTAGGCTTACCCCGCCCTTTCCCCCCCCTCTCCCCCCCCCCCCCCCGGCGCAAGGATGAGAGGCATAAATCGAGAAAATCGCTAATGCGTCGTTACGAATGACTCAGCCGAGTACCTCAGCCTGCTAGGCGCCTCAACAGTCATTGGGCCTCTCATCAAAATGTGCGAAATGAGAATGAATCTTCATCCAGAACCGGGAAAGGTACACCGCCATATGTTTTTGTCTTGCGCACGTGGTGAGTGCTGGAGCGAGGCCCGTTATCTACACTTCTTCCAATCACGACGACCTCCGTGCACAAATCCCGACGAACACAACCCACAAGTCGCCAGCAAATTCTACATTTCGTCCCACCAATCAGTGAAATCGGCGACCCTAATAAGTTCGGCATTTTTCGACCGACCGAAACGCCCTTGACCCTGACGTTTGAGTATTATGCCCACCTTAGTCCGCCGGTTCTCCATCAATTATTTAAAAAAAAAAGAATTCAGTACATCATCTTACTTTTAAGTTATCGTTTACGTTCCTGGAAATTAAAAAAAAAAAAAAATTCAATACATCATCACATTATTTAAACACAATGAATTCCAGGGACCAGATACGTCCCTCGAATTACGTTCACGATTTTTGATCCGTGCACTACCATCTGCTTGTTGTCACCGTTTACACGTTTGTACCCTACAGCCAGTGAAAGAATTTACCGAAAAAGAATTTACCGAATTCTAGAAATTCAATTTCAATTTTATAAAAATGTTGTTTGAATGCAGGAGAACAGCAAGTAATCGTCCTTCGGGGGAGATCCGTTAAAATAGGAACGATACAGATGATGAAGATTAGCATGGCCCCTGCGCAAGGCCGGCACGGAGAAAAGTAAAGTGGCCGATTTTTTTTGAAAAAGAAAAGAATATTTTTCCGGGTCTCTTCGCCATTTAATGCAAATACAAAAGGACAGTAGAATTGTAGAAATAAGAAAAAGAAATCTTCCCGGAAAAAAAAAAGAGATCTCATTCATCTTCGGCTTTGGCTGGTTCATGTTGTTGGTTCTCTTCTTTTTGTTAGGGTTCGTTTTCAAGTAGCCAATGTCTATCTAGCCTTTGGTTGGAATTTCCTGTTATTTTGTCTTGGCGGTCTGGGCGTGGGCCCGGCCGGAGTTGCCGGGACCTCGCACTGTGACTGCTACTTTTGAAAGGGACGCCGGGCTTAAAAAAAAAAAAAAACTTGCAAAAACGAAAAAAAAAAAAAAACTTAAAAAAAGGATAAGAAAAACGGTGTGCTTGAATGGAATTTGAAGGCCTATTATCATAGTCGGACTTTAGGGAATCAAACGTCAACATCGGTATGAATCTAACAGACTGCATCAACGAGAACAACAACTCCTTGAAGGTTGTTTGTTGAGGTTTTCCCGGCCTCTCTTTTTGGTATGCGTAATCAAATGAGCTGAGTCTTCTTGTAAAAAAAAAAAAAAAAAAAAAAAAAACAACTCCGACGACAAGAAAAAAAGAGGGACGGAAACTTGACGAAACATCGATAGCACAATTTGGGAGAGAAGTGAGTCAAAGGAATTGAGGATGTTTACGAAACATCACTAGCACAAGTATGGGAATTTGACAGACTCGACGACGATCCATACAATCAACGCGGGAGAGAAATGGGCGACACAGAAATCAACGATGGTAGAAATAAATAAAGAAACCTGCAAGAAGGATATTCCAATTTGGATCGAAGCCCTCTGAAGCAACACAAAAATCGGCCAAATAGAGCAACAAAGACGGCTTGTACTCGATTTGAATGCTTGAAAGGTCAAAGGAATTGAGAACGCGTAAAATTTCTCAAAAAACGAATTTGCTTTAACGAAATTACCATATTTCCACACCTGGCATTTCCGTCTTGTCTTGAAGCACGTCGAGCCGGGACTACAAAAGACGATGTCCACAATTTAATTATGATACGCAACTCAAAGAGTACAACGATCCACTCAGCGACAAGAGCTTCTCTCTGTTCTCTGCGGTTCTGACGTCAACTCCCCGTCTACCTCCATCCCTCCCTCCACACCTGTCATCACACCGGATTCCTCAAACATCTCTATAGAGTGTAAACCATTTGTAGTACCGAATAATTCATCGGAGTTGTCACATGTCTCGTCTGTTAAATCAGTGCTTTCACACTTTCGACCTGGCAAGGCATCGGAGCTTTGGCACGTTTGGCCAGCCAAAGCCTGACCCAGCGCGCTTTCACACGTTTTATGGTTTTACCTGCCTGTCTGGCAAACCACCGCTTTCACATGTTTGGCCTGCCACTTGGGGGCTCATCAAGGACCCGGCACTTGAAACCTTCGCTCGCCGAAGTTTACCGTGTTAAAACGGTCGAGCTCGGCACTACAAATCGTATCGCGAACAGGTCCTCAAGGTGTGGATTAATTGAGGACGCTCAAGAGGGCAAATGCATTAATTATAACTTATCTGTATAATATCCATTCCTCCAAATTCATTTGACTTTTGTGAGTAATCGATCGGATCAGGCTCATCGAGAACCCGGCAGTTGAAACCTTCGCTCGCCGAAGTTTACCGTGGTAAGACGGTCGAACTCGGCACTACAAATCGTATCGCGAACAGGTCCTCAAGGTGTGGATTAATTGACGACGCTCAAGAGGGCAAATGCATTAACCATATCTTATCCATAACTTTTGCGAGTAATCGATCGGATCAGATCCGTGTGAAATGAAACTGGAAATATACGAAACATCAGGAAACCGACTCCACTCGAGCACAGACATGGAAACATGAACCGGAACACTTCCTTCCCCCAATTGAACCTTGATATCGGGTCAGATACATGTCCCCAATTGAGCCTCGATATCCGGTAAGATACGATTCCCCAGTTAAACATCGATAGCAGGTAAGATACGATCCCATCAATCGCAACCAAATTGAAATTTGAAGAAATGATGTACTCTTGTTTTTGTTCAAGCCCCACCCATGCAACGAGAAAAAGCCCAGGGATGGCTCCTAGCTTATAAAAAAAAGCATGCCCCTACTACCTCAACGATCGATTCACAGCGGCCAAAGAGCTATACCCCTTGACTATCCTATCAACAAATAAGACATCATTATCGTTTCGGGCAATTCAATGTGATTTCGATTTTCCAGAATGAGAGACTGCCATCCCATTTGACTGCACAGAATCTATTACGTCGAGGGTCAATAAGCAAATTGCAAGGATAAACTCAACCGATAACGCTCTGTCGTGTCTATCATTCGAACGTGAAAACGACGTCGAGTTGTCCGGCCGATGGTCACCACCGCATACAATGTCATGGACCATAAACATCTGCTGGCGGAGAACACACGGCGGCTTCATGGCAGGAGAGGACGAGCGCACGCTTCTGGACTCCCGTCGCGGCGCGCTCTCGTCGAATACTTAATACTTTCTACACAATCTTGTTGACGTCACAAGCAATCCCCGAGGAATTCTCATCAACACTACCGGATAGGCACTTATGACAATAACGGAGAAGGGATCGGTTCAACACAATTTCGTGAGAGAGGTGGAGCGGACAAGCACAGACTCTGGGAAGAATGAAATGAATCTTCGACTACTACCCGGATGGTAGTTCAAGGGATTACCCTAAAAGAAGGGGAAGACTCTAGAGATGATACAAGGGAATGGGAGCGGCGCAGCTTTTGCTATTATCTACACAGCAGACGGTTTCGAACCATCGTCTTCGTGAACAGATTACCGCACTCCAACTGAAACCCCGTCGCGGTTGGGGCACGACCTTCACCATTGACAGAGATGATGGAAGCGAGTACCGCACTCCAACTGATACCCCATCGCGATCGACCGAGCTTACCGAAAAGAGTACTGAACAGATGCGACCCCGGCGATACACGATGACAGAACGTCGTCGATTAACTGGGTGGACTCTCAGAACTGAAAAGCGAAAGGAAAGCCATAGAAGCACGAAGAACGACGGAAACCGCATCGCTTCGTATCTCTGCCAAGTTGCAAACCTGACGCCTCGGTACATCAGATGCGAAAGCCACAGAAACACGGCGTACAGGAGAAAGCGAGGGAAAGGGAGAGCGGATGTTAAAACTTTCGCTCTAATGGGAAGCTGGGTAAAAGACATAAAATAGAAGATACGGCGAGCACTTCGGTAATAATGACTCACTATCTCAACGACGGAAAGGTAGAAGTAAAAGAAACAGAAGTCAATGACGTTACGGAGGTCGTATGCACTCACCAGAGCCAACCAAATGAACCACTCCGCCACCTTCTCTCTCTCTCTCTCTCTCTCTCTCACACACACACACACACACAGACACACACACACTAACAGTGCGTTTCTGCGGCCGCCAGCCAGCCCTCCTCGATTCGATCCAAAATCCGACGAACCAACGGAGGAACGGGCTCGTCTTCCTTCCTACCTACGCGACGAAACGAAAGAACTCAATGGTTGTTTACAAACAGGAATTCCTATTACACCAGAAGAGATAAAACGTACAATAGAGAAGGTGGGGACGAATCCCAAATTCTATATGATCTACCTTCATAAGTAAAAGAGCAGCAAAGCTCAACAGAGCGACGCTCTAATGAACGCGCGATCGGGGTTCTTTCCACTGGGCGAGTTCGGAAAGATCGAGGTGGTACCGTGGTAGTACTAGTGGAAAGCAACATCAAAGTGCCACAAGTCGTCAATCCTACTATTAATCAATCACTCGGCGCACCCACCACCAGCCACGCATGCGAGCTCGTACAAGTCCCTGGTCGCATTGACCCTCTCGTACTTTCGCAGTCCTACCCAATTAACTCTACTGCTCGGCGCGCAGCGAAGCATCTTCTCGTAGGTCTGCTTATCAACCTCTTCATATGGCATTTGCTGATAGTTTCCGCCGTCGTAAGGAAGGAACGAGATGCCACAAAGATGATCGAAATTGTCGAATACGAACCCTTTGACGTCGTCCCATTCATGCGGCTTGACGGTGACGGTGATCGACGGCTTATGATGGCACCAATTATCTTGGAAGAATTTGTACAGCTTGATGTGTGTCAACGCTGTCAGCTGACTCCGCACAGTGGAACCGTCCGGAGACTTCACCGGGAAGCTGAAAATCCACGTACCCTTCTCATACACCCCTTCCTCCCCACCGAACCCCTGGTCGACGAGATACTTCGTGACAGGGTCTTCCATTGGGTTCCTAATCCGACGGATGTAGTACTCCGAGTGCCGAGGATGAATGCCACTGGCGGTCCCAACGAGTTCCGACACTGTCCCCGACGGCTTGATGCAGGTGATGGCCTTCGAGCGCGCGATGCCCAATCTCTCTGCCCACAGCTCGTTGACTTTAACGCACTTTTTTCTGAGCGTGTGAAGAAATTTAGCGTTCTCCTCGGTCGTCTGGGCCAGCCACTTGCAGTCCAGGATGCCGGTCATGGAAACTCCCAGCAGCCGCTCCTGCTCGCAATTCTCCGCCCATTTGCTCCTCACGTAATTGAAGTTGGTCAGCGTCGACTGGATCGTGCCGAGAACCGTCGCCACTTCCGCATTCTCCACCAACGACTCCTTCGTGTCATCGGGTCTGACGATAAGTTCAGACAAATTGCAGCACTGGTTCGACTTCAGCACGATCTCGCAGCACGGATTGGTGCCGTAGTTCTCATGCTCGCCTCGCTCAGGAAGGCCGTCTAACTTGCTGTTGTTGACAGTCTTCTTGCCGCACACGTAGGAAGAGAAGATGCCTCTCTCTCCGGAGTTGCCTTCCACCAACGCCCTCCACTCGTCCTCCCAGTTCTCTGTGTCTGGCTTCGAATGATAATTGACAGAAATGTTCGTCGAGAAGCGATAGGACTTGCCAGTGAGGTCGTGCACGCGGAAATTCTTAGCGTCACGCATCTCCTTGTCGTCTAGCGACGAGAGACACATCAGTGCACTTCTTCGGGAGCCCCCAGCCGCCACATTGCGCGCGATGACACACACCATGTCACAGCATTCGATAGGTCGAAGCTGCCGACCGCGAGCCGTGGTCATTATCTCGCTGACGACTGTCAGAATCTCGTCGAGCGGACCAGGTCCAGACGCCCGCCCACCGAAGGTCTTCAGCCTCGATCCCTGCGGCCGGATGGCCGACAGATCCCACCCGTGCTGCTTGCCCTCGAACAAGCCCGAGACCACTTCACGCAGAGCCTTCGCCCATCCCTCTTTCGAGTCTTCTACCAGTATCGCCTTACCCGATTCCGTTATGACGTCCGGAATGCGGGGCAACTTCGCCACATAGTGCGTCTCCACGCTGAATCCGACGCCGACACCGTTCATCAATATGTACAGAATCTCATCGAAGGACTCGATTGAGTCAATGTGAAGGTAAGAGCAGTTGTACCCGCAGAGGTTCTCTCTCTCTAGAGCAGGGCCGGCAGTCATCAAACACCGCATGGATGGCATCACACGCTGCTCGAGAACGAACTTACGGATCTTCGACAGATACTCGCCGAGATTGTAGTCACATCGCTTCTGCACGTGCTCGTTGATGAACTTGCAATACCGATCGACCGTCTCCTCCCAAGTCTCCCTTCTCTGCTTCTCCTCCATCCACCTCGAATACCTCGTCATGTGAATGATCTCAGAGTACGCTGGGATCGCCATGGTTGCTTCAGAGAGAGACCACCTATTCTTCTCGGTTTCACTTCGCCTTTACCTTCCTTCTGCTTCTCCTTCCTCCCTTTCTTCCTGCGTTCAAAATAAACCAACACTCTCCTAAGTAGTCGTCAACTGAGAAAGACCTTCCTCGCCGCGGTGAGGAAAACAACTCGACGACTAGTCTGAGAGGCTAGCCTGTGCAATTCGCAACGTACAAGACAAGACACAACACCCTCGTTCCTTCCTGAACAGGGCCAAAGCCTAATGGACAGACCCGAAGCCTAATGGGAAAGAACCATGGAGTCCAACTTCACAAATACGTTCTTTTTCCCTTACATCCGTTGAATGGAAGAGGAATGACAGAAGACCAATAAGAATGGACTTGGAAGTTGTATATATAAAGCCAAATCAATGCAATGTGTACAGAGGAAGACGACTAAACCAACCACGATGACACTGGAGACGAGAGAGAAAACGAAATTCCACCAGAGCCAGCACGAGATCGCACGAGGGAGACTGATTCCACGAAGAACGCATTGAAAACCGAGCTGCCAGATAGATTGCCCCCCCCACTGAGGAAGCACCGAAGAAGGAATGAGAAGCACGACGGGATGGACGAAGCTTGCACGACACGGCTATGTACCATGCCCGATTGCTTCCACTGTTCGCTGCTGCTGACGAGAACTCTCGTACTGGGCAAAATATAGCTGCCGGCCGCCCAGCGAGCGGGCGAAAGGCGGGAGCGGTCGCCACTTTCAGGAATTAATTTCGAAATTTTGTCACCGGATAGTTTCCCGCCACCTCGAGTTTTCCGTTTACTTTTCCCGCCAGGCAAGCCCTACCCAGTTGTCCGACCGATGGTGCTGTTAGCTTCCCCCCCCCCTCCCCACCCTGACAAACCACCCCCCTCCTCGCCCCCGTCCCCTCCAGAGGCCGCCCACACCGTTTCGGCAGAACCCTGGATAATAACTCGCTCCCTGTCCTCCGGGATATCCGTTAAAATTGGAATGGTGCAGAGCAGGTGAGCATGGCCCCTGCGCGTTCAAGGATGACACGCAGCACGGCTCGTATGTGGTCCCCCCCAGCTTGCGCTCAGACAGACAGAAAATACCCAGCTGGGCCTCATCATTTGCTCCGATAGCAGACTACCGTACTACCTACCGTATTAGCAGTCACCACGGATGAACGAAGTTGTCCACAGCGGCAGTTTGATTTTGATTTTGATTTGTTTGAAACGCCGTCGACTATGTAGTGTAAACGATTCCTACGGCCACAGGGTCCGCCTCCACCACCAGCAGACTCCCGGGTTTACCGTTCATTTCAGTGCAGCAAAGAGGAGCAATGAGAATCGCCGCATACGGGGCTAGGTCCCACTTGCACGAATCAAGAGATAACAGCCGTAGATGACGAACATCAACGGGGAAGAGCTCTTAATCCGTGCGAGTGGGACGTTGGCCCTGAGAGCAGCCTCCTGGTAGAGGGAAAAGGGAGCACGAGTGTGTCAGTGGGATCCTGTCAGGATTTGTCGGCATGGCACTTTGTGCTTGCTACAGTGACACGAAACCGAAAGAATGCGATTGCATCTGCCCACAAAAGCAGCCGAATTACATTCGTTACTATTCATAGAAGACCAACTTTGTATGTTTCAAGCTTCTGCGGAGAGATTCTTTGGCGTATTTTCTTTTTGTGAGTCGTGTGGCGAGCGCCTTTTTTTCCTCCCTATGAAGGGCGACGGCCTTGAGATATCAACTGAGCTGTAGGCCGGGGGGGGCAGACGAGCACCTTTTTGCACTTCCTGCGCAATGCCACTTTCTTTCTTTTTTTGTTTTTGTTTAGCCATTGCCGCTTTCCGGCACGACGGGACTAGTAGACAGGTCCAATTGTGCAGTCCTCTAAACTACCTGAGTCAGCATCTGCCAGGGCAGACGGCCTCCGCAGTTCCCGCAATGTTCAGCAGTTTTTTCCTGTTCATACCCAGTGCAGTGTTGCAGACGGCTCAAGGTTCTGACAGGACAGCAAGTCCGACAGATAGTGACTCTCCGTCGTGGCAAATGAGGGCAGGCCAAAAGGAGTTTTGAGGGCCGGTTTGGTCAGGCAGAGAAAGTCCCGGTTTGGTCCGGCCGAGAAAGGAACTAGGGACGTGGGCAGAAAACGGGTCCGGTTATGCTGGACCCCGTTTCCAGCAGACTCAGTATCTACCTGGCTCTTATTGGAGTAGTGGATTTTAGCCAGTTTGGAAAACCCAGAGATGATACTCGCACTACCTGTAGGACTTCGGGCCTCGTTCGACCCTCCTTGCAAAATGCTGAGGAATTAGGATGCAGTCCTTGGAATTTTTTTCAGTTTTCGGCGTCGTAGTTACGCCGCATCCTAATTCAATGGGTCCCGAGGAAAACCCTTGAAGGTCTCCAGCGGCCAATTTCATACGCATCCACGCGGCCACGGGGGTGGATGTCCATCATCGTGGGATGTCCATGCGTCCTCGGGCGTGGTCCAATGGCGGCGGCGGGGAGGCCTACCAGGCTGACGGAAAAAAAGGGCGCCAACATCCCCGTTCCAATTTCAAATTTTGAACCCTCCGTTGTGACACATCCGTGCATGAGGTGTCCTCGCGGCTGAACTGGAGACTGGGGCGAAACGTCTGTGCGGAGGAGTGATGGCAGCCATGGCTTAAAAGGAGGGCATTGGAATATTGGGCGACGTAGCGTGTATGCGAAACATTTCTCTACTGCAACATCGCCTTCGCGTTCCGCATGCTCGTCGGGTCGTCACAGCTTAGCGCAAACGTAACGCTTCCGGGAAACGTGGAGAGTGCGAGCACGGTCCCCATCGACGTGCAAAAGGTGCAGCGAGGGCGCCGGCGGGCGAAAGAGTGGTGGGTGCTTGCGCATTGCAAGTCCTGACGATGGAACGAGAGCTCCCGGGTGGTGCGAAGGCATTAACGACATTGGAGAGAAACACAGTGGTTGCAGCTGTGTCAGTCGTCGCCATACGTTATCACATTGACAGAATGACAACTCGCCTGAGGATGAGATTGTTCGTTCGCAGGCAGAGGCAGCTGATGCAACAAGTGATGGATGCACCCGATTGTGTGTCCTTATCGGAATCCATTGTGCAATTCGGTTGCACCATGGCATCGAGTGTCATCCCGGGGGCGATGCCGAGATGGTGGATGAAGAGAAGGACGGGAATGACATGGGAGGATCTCCGACAGGTTGACGACGTGGCGGAGGGCTACTACAAGGAGAAGCTGCGGAGTGGAGTAGTCAATGGCGCGCGTCGGCTGTCTACTGGAGGTCTCCCGCCTGTCCAACCCGTTGTCTTCCTCACCGTTCGTCGTTTCGGTCTGCTGCCAGGACCCCGCACAACGACGCACACGTGGAACAACATGACAAGGAGCAGGAGAAAAGTGACCAACAGCAGGAGCGGGAACCGCCGGAGGACGTTTGTCATGAATTGCAGCATGCGAAGCGTGTACCAAACAAACCTTGTATGAATGCGCCCAACAATAGCCGACAAAACACGCTAGGAAGATGACTGCAATCGACCGACGGTGCGTCAACATCGCTTGTAAAAAAAAAAAAAAAAAATGGAACGTTGGACACCACGGACGGCGACGCACGCATGGAAAACCCGACTTTGTCAAGCGCCTTGCAGTTGAAGAACACCCCCACGCATTTCCACACCAACGGTAACGGTGGAAGGCCGTTGGGGGTCCGTCAGGTACTGGAGGCCGGCGATGTCCGCCCAATGGACCACAAACGACTTGTGCACCAACGTCGACTCCAAATTTTCCTGTCAGCGCTCGCTCCAGAACACTCCGTCAATCGGGGCTCCTTGAACCCAAGGGACCTCGCAAGGACCCCTTGAATCCAATGACGTTTTGGCTGGGGATTCGGAGGAAGCCAAGGAAATCTCTCGGGAGCGTTTTCACATTCATTCAAGGAATTTTGTGAATTAGGACGCGGTGTAACGACGCCGATTTCCTAAAAGTCGAATTTCCAAGGAGGGTCTAACGAGGCCCTTTTCCTCAACGTTGTGGACGTAATCGCAGTTAGGGGTGGGTTGGAGGCGCCGTAACGACGCGCTGCGCTAATTCGGGATTAGCGCTAACGGGAACGCTTACTAGCTCCTCGGGTAAGGGCGGTGATGGCATGGCGGCGTGAGTACGGGTACTAGTCTTTCCACGTACTGTCCACCTTCACCATAGTTGTGCGTGGAGGTCACACGTGGAAAATTCGTGTGCGAAGGTGAGGCTCTAGTTGGCAGACCAGGGATGTCCCCGAAGCTCGCTTGAGGCAACATTCATATAAAGGGATTGCAGGCGGCAGTCCACCATGGAGAGGAGTATGCGCTTACATGTATAACATTCTACCATATGCTCAATGGGAAGTGAAGCTGTCGCAGGACTGTCCTATTTATCGAGGATCAGACTTGTTTTGTCATAAGATTATAAATTACTGGATTATAGGCTCGAATTGGCTTAACTAGGGATTAAGTGTATGTGTCACTGTTGTATTGTATTTATCTCTCTCGATGGGGGATGCTCTTGACCCCCCACCCCCTCCACCCCCTTCACCCCCTCCCCCACCTGCCAACCCTCCTCATAACGAGGATGACCGCGTTCAAGAGATCCTATCTCGATGTTTCAACGACGGGATCCTTCCGAGAAAGATCAACCCAACGAGGGTGGAGAGGGGGCCCGACTTTGTGTGTGTAACTATGAACCGGATTTTTGCCGAGTCCAAAATGAATGGTTGACCGAATATGCGGTCTCCATCGTTTTTGGTGCACCGTTAAACAACGGTTGGTACACATATATAAAAGCGGGTGGACCAAATCGGGGGAAGTCAATGCCCTCCCAAAGAGAGGGGTAATTCATAACGAGGGGTACAACTCAGTAACTTATATTGCTCCCGTCAAATAATTCGCAATTTTCCTGCATCGTAAAGGACAAGATAAAATTGAATTCAACAGGAAGAAGTACACTCTGACATTTCGCCCATGGATAACTGAGAGAGAGTTGTATGAATGGAGAGATGCTATGAGTTACAATTTGTTTTTGGTGAGATGTTTACAAGTCCCGGTGAGTGCCCTAACGACTCTAGCCAACACTGTGGAGGACGCCTTTGGGAAAATCCTGAAAATCCACCCAACTTTCAAAGTAGCCAGATCTCCAGTTTTATTGAACATTAGGTTCGACTTGGAACCGACTGCTCGTCTGCGCTACGAACGGAAATTGTGCATTGATCTTGACAATGGTGGCTACACTGAAGTGGAAGTCGCATCTGCAGATTCCTCCTGGTGTCTGGTTTGTCGTAGATATTTCCACCAGGAGTTCGACGAATCTTGTCCTAAGAACCGTAGAAAGGGGAAGGAGTTTGTTCCACCCTCAGGTGGGGGAGGGTCAGGCCCCACCTCGACTTCAACAGGAGGAGGAGGAGGTGGAGGGGGAAGTGGGGAAGGAAGAGCATTAAGTGGAGGAGGAGGGGGAGGTGGAGGGGACGAAGGAGGAGGAGGAGGAGGAGGAGGAGGAGCAAGTGCATCGAAATAAACTTCAACCGGTGGAGTCCCGGGTGGAACTGCAGTGACAGGTTTAAATTAAGGGGGAGGGGCGGGGATTCATGGGACTCAAGGGGGTGGACCGCAGCAGCACAACCCTTCTCACTCGGGAATTACGATGGGACCGGGGGGAGTCCAACTGCTGCCAGGCCCCCCTCTGAAGTACCCTGACACCCCCCCTCCTACAGGTCGTTCCAGAGGCTCCCTTCTCACCCAACGACCCCCCGCTTCAGAAAAACCTGAAAGAACTAAGAGAACAAACGGGACCCCCCGCCCCCTCTCCCCCTCTCTCAGATGAAGAAATGTTGAATGGGAACTCCTCCCCGACCTATAAGGATGTTCTGCCTAGCCCAGTCAAAACCTACCCACGTATTGGCAAGCTCACCTGGAGGTCGAAGAAGCGTGGGTCCGAACCCCACCCGGACCACGCAAACGACCCCGATAGAGAACACAGGGCAATGGGAGATGATCGGGGTAACAGTTTGGTAAATGGGGAAGGAGTAGCACAACGGGAGTAGAGGGGTAACTACAAAGGTTCGAAATCGGAAGAAAACGAGGAGGAAGAGGAACATAATATTGATGAGGAAAGAGGAGAAGAAGGGAAAAAAAATGAAGAAGAAGAAGAAGTTGCTAATAGCGAACGAGGTATAGGGGAATGGAGATACATCGGGAC